AGCAACCGATATATCTGATCACGATATGGTCAGCGTCCTACTCTCCTTCAACCCTGGTGTGATGGAGGAGGCCCATGCTACATATCTTGATGAAATGAACTTTCGAGCATTAGATTTCAATCAAGCTGATTTTCCCCGACTGAATAAGGTTTTTGAAGCTATTGATTGGGATGAACTGAGAGATGCTGGTACGTTCGAGGAATTTCCTGCCAAGTTCACGGATAAAGTACTAAACACGTGCATATCGAACATTCCCAAGAAACGACCTCCATCAGGCAAGCCTAAGCTCTACAATTCTCTCAGAAGACGGAAGTCTAAGCTTAAAACTCGTCTCTCCGCAGCAAGGTGCGCCGGTGACAATGCCCGAATCAAGAAACTTGAAGACGAGATCGGGCTGGTGTGCTATGAGATAAAGGAGGCCATAGTCAACCATCTCGACCAAGGTGAGAGGAGAGCGGTGGAGCGGATCAAAAGTAACCCCAAATATTTCTTCTCCTATGCCAAATCATTCTCCAAAGTGAAACACAACATTTCTACCCTCCTGAACGACAATAAGGAACTAGTCACTGAACGGAAAGAACTCGCCAACATCCTTCAACAACAGTTCTGCTCCGTTTTCAGCGACCCTAACTGTCCCGACACAGCAGTCCCTACATTTGCGGTACCACCCCTTATCAGTAGAGACAATGACATTGTGTTAACACCTGATAGTATCATGGAAGCTATATCTGAAATTAAGCTAGACTCTGCCCCTGGACCCGATGGAATACCAGCTATTCTTCTCAAAAGGTGTGCTACCAGCCTTAGTGTCCCGATTTATCTTATGTGGTCAGAGTCCATGTCATCTGGTATAGTGCCAAGCTTCTACAAGACGGGTTATGTTTCGCCACTTTTCAAGAAAGGCAGTAGATGTGAAGTTGGAAACTACAGACCTGTCACTTTGACCTCCCACGTTGTAAAAGTGTATGAAAGAGTGATAAGAAAACATATGGTGGAGTATTTGGAAGCCAACAGTCTCTTGACCGATAAGCAGCATGGTTTCAGAGCGAATAGGAGCTGCTTGACTCAAATGCTCGGCCATTTTGACGACATCTACGAAGGGTTTACTCGTGGTGAAGATACAGATTCTATATATCTGGATTACGCTAAGGCGTTCGATAAAGTCGACTTAAATCTTCTCATCCACAAGCTGAAAAAATATGGGTTTCATGGCAAGCTCATAGAGTGGATAAAGTCCTTTCTCTTTGATCGCGAACAAGTCGTGGTGCTTAATGGAGTTCACTCGGTTATCGCAAAGGTTTTAAGTGGTGTTCCCCAGGGAAGCGTTTTGGGGCCGCTTCTCTTTATCTTGTTCATCAATGATCTAGAACAAGTAGTGGACTCATCTAGGGTGAGTTTTTTCGCCGATGATACTAGAGTCTCCAAACAGATTGGCTGTTTTGAAGACTGTCAGTTGTTACAAGAAGATATCTATAAGATTCTTGACTGGTCACGTAGCAACAACATGAAGCTTCACGAGCAGAAGTTCGAGCTGTTAAATCACCTCCATAACAGTAAGAGCTCATTCCCCGAACTACCCTTCTTCGCCGAAACACTGCGTTACAAAGTATCCAGTCAGGACATACTTTATCCTGTCGAAAACGTCCGAGATCTTGGAGTTATGGTTTCAAGTGATCTTAGCTGGTCGACACACATCGGCAACATGGTACCCAAAGCAAGGAGCACACTATTTTGGGTATTCAGTGTGTTCAAAACTCGCGACAAGACCGTAATGACTACTCTCTACAAGTCACTAGTAAGAAGCTTACTAGAGTATTGCTGCCCACTCTGGAGCCCTACCAAGGTGACTGAAATACAGCTGATAGAGGGGGTGCAAAGAACTTTCACCAGTCGTATTGGCGGTCTTCAACATCTCAACTATTGGGAAAGACTCGTACAGCTTAAATTGATGTCTCTACAGCGCAGACGGGAGAGGTATATCATCCTGATGATGTGGAAGATTCTCCATAATGTGGTACCAAACTGCTGTGATATCAAATTCAAGGTGACCCCAAGACACGGGGATGTAGCTGTCATACCCTCATTGTCAAAGTCAAGTTCCTTACGCAACCAGTCACTGTACGACAGGTCTTTTGCAGTTCAAGGACCGAAGCTGTGGAACAAAGTGCCTCACACAGTAAAGGCTGATTCATCCTTTGACATGTTTAAGTGTAGTTTGTCGAACTTTCTTGCTTTGATACCGGACAACCCTCCGGTCGCCGGCTACAGCTGCAGTTGGTCAAACTCACTGGTCGACTACTCGCCATCCAGGTGGTCAGATATCTGATGACCCTTCCGGCTCCACGGATGAACTCAACGAAGTAACGAAGTAAGTAACACCAACAAGTTTATGCTGAAGAAATGCTTTTAGGAATATTTTATTTTAATTTTAGTTTTTGTTTTTGTATTTCATTTTCGTTTCAATTTCGTTTCGTTTCGTTTGATTTTGTTTTTGATTTAGTTTAGTTAAGTTAATTTTATGAAGGAGCTTGTAAGGAAAACATGGATTTATTAATTTAGTAAGTATTCTGACACTGATGATTGCATTTACATGAAACTCTGAGTTTGTAGAATCGTTGTTTTCATTGTACAATGCTCCCCTCCCGGGTAGAGCACTCTTGAAACTGGATTTCTCCAAAAGAAACATCATATGTATTATGTATGTATAGACGCTTTTGCTGTTAATTGTAGCCTACATTTAAGTGTCCGTAGATTCAAAAGTATAAAAGATACAGTCATTTCGAACCACAGGTTTTAAAGATAATTGTTTATACTTTAGTTTACATTATATCAAAAAATAATTTATCTTCATCATTATCACTTGATGACGTCATCAAATTAAGTGTTTTTAAAACTTGATTTTTGACAAAGTAACAACTTTTCAAATCGATTTTAAACCATTAAGGAGTAATTTTATTCAAAATCTGAGGACATTTTTGCCTTAGATAATTGTTCAAGCATTCTGAAAATCTACCGGAAAAGTTTCTTACTTTGCTCCTTCATAAAGATATTCGCTATTGAAGTAAGTGCTTTTTTGAAGAATAATTTTATAAAAACACAAAAGTTGTGAATTAGTATTCTCTGGTGTTGGGCCATCCTTTGGGTTGTGGAGCTCAATTTTGCTTTTTAAAGGTCTAAATTGTTTTATAGGCTAGTTTTAAAGTTGAAAATCAAAAAGTTGCACACGTGGGGACACGCCCGATTTGATAGAAAATTGCTAAAATTACTGAAAATTGCTGTTTTCACCATTTTTATCAACCTTGGAGTCCCGTTGTGATCCAAGTTCTATATGAAATCTTCTGAAACTTTGCATGCTTATTAAACTATATATAAAATACTGCTATGCAAAAATTTACGGTGATTCAATATTGTATGCGCACGCAACGTCCGCTCAAAGTTTGCACGTGCGAAAGGTGAGAATTTTGCTCATTCGTGATTTCGAATAAATTCTGCTTTCCCACGATATTTAAATGGCATTATATATGAATTTAATGCCAACTTGAATGAGTAAAAAGTGCCATATTCAGTCAGGTAAAATTTCGAAATCGATGAAATTACCTCCTAATTATTAATATAAATATTAATGAAGTTATGAGTTTACATTTCGGCTTTGTAAATTATCCTGACATTATAATCAAAAAGAGATGATATTTGACCAAAACCCATAATCATGGGTAGAGTGTACCGCTGCCAGTGTCTCTCTTTTCCAAACAAAAGGAAATGATATTAATTTGAATAACCGTCCGAAAATGCAAATTGATACCGAGAATGAAATCGGTCGCTCGCTTTTTCCAATCAATAAGCTTTATATTACAATTCGTAAGCCGTGATCGAATGGAAAAAGCGAGCGACCGATTTCATTCTCGGTATCAATTTGCATTTTCGGACGGTTATTCAAATTAATATCATTTCCTTTTGTTTGGAAAAGAGAGACACTGGCAGCGGTACACTCTACCCATGAATATGGGTTTTGGTCAAATCATCTATACAATATAATGAATATGATATAATATGTGATAATTTTACACCCGCTTAAGTCCGATGAGGAATAGAGTCAAAACAAATAAAGCTTGCGTGTTAAAGAGCTACAAAGTAGTTACAGAAATTTCTCGTGATATTTGGATTTGTAATGATCCTACTATGATTACTTGTAGATATGAAGCTCAAGACCTTGTGAGCAACTCCATAGTTTGGATTACAGATATATTGTGACTGTAGACACAGGTGCGTTTTAGAGTTACCGACAGTCACATTTGTCTTCCAAATAAGGAATAAACGTTTGCCTCATTGAACATTGTCGTCGTCCTGTGTTAATATCTACAAAGTTTATACATCATCTGTACAGTGCAATCTAGTATATTAGTTTTACAGAGGATATAGAATCATTGCTTTTCTTTAGTTTGACTTGACTTTTTGTTTCAAAGCTTTGTTTTTATATTTTCTACTTTTAGTTCTGCCACACCTTCTGTTGGATATCCACTGTTTTAATCTTGCACAATAATTGACAACATGATAATGCTGTGAGCTGTTGAGTATTGCCGCATTTATTTTTGTTGAGTCGGCCAATAAGTAAATATTATCTACGCAAACGTAATGTACGAGTCTTTTGTCTTTTAAAGAGGTTTAGTTTTACATAATATGGTACACGTGTTAAGGTTTAGTTTGCAATATACACTTACACGTAAAGGTAGACTGTGTATAGAGCTTTAAATTTAGATATTGAGGCTATTATCATAGGAGCATTGTTCTTCAGTTGATATTTGATCATTACTGTTAGTGTTAGTTACTTGAATTACTTCTTCGTACAATTAAATTTGTGAAACACGTCTTACCTTTCTACACTGATCAGTTGATTTCCAACTTACGTTCGCCAGGGCAGCTCTGATTGAACTTTGTGTTTGGCAAGAATTTCGGAAATAATCATATGGTTTTTACTTTTTGATTTTAGAACAATCGCCCAGTTTAAAATGAACTGTCACACTGAGAAAGAGCCATGAGCTGAAAACACAATGTCGGGCTGAACATGTCAGAAGACATAATCCCATCAGAACTGAGTAGGACCAGTAGTAATGAAGAGGGTGGCTCAAGCTCAGCACCCAGCTCAATACCCAGTTCAGAGGGAACTAGTCTAGCAAGGAGTGGAGCAGCTTCCGTCGCCAGTTACCAGTCTATTACCAGCCACGTGGGGACAGGACCTGTTAGATATGTAATGTCTGGTATTAAACCTTCCTTGTCTTATTTCGAGGTTTGTATACAGTTACACTCTTAAACAATAAACACTACACAGTTACACTTTTATTGTTTTAGAATTTAAAGCCAGTTTAGGATTACCTTACAAGACATTTTTGTGGCGGACCAATTTGCGACGACCGAAATTTTGGCGGTCCGAAAATATGGCGAAATTGAATAAAAACCGTCACATTTCGGACGTCACAGAAAATAAGGGTATTTTTCATCATTTTGTCTTCTGACACAAAGGAAATTCAAAATTTTCTAAAAATCGGTAAAATCATGTTGAAACAAAATGAAACTTATAAATCGATTTCTTCATCTTCCTTTGACCATTGTTTATGATCTGGCCCGGCGCGCGCTACTTCGTAGCACTTGCCGTCGGGCCATTTTGAGATATATAACAGTATAACATTTCGAGAAGAAAGCGGCGCGCGCTACTTCGAAGAAATTTAGACGAGTAACATCCGTCAACATCTTCCTCTAAGGGGTCCGGCTCGAATCTTTCAGTTTCACTTATTGAGTTTGGTATTAAATTGTTTATCTTGACTTAGTCTATAAAAAGTTTATGTTAGCACATAAATGTAATTTATTGTAAATTTAAAACGTATAACTTGACATTAAATTCATCATGGAATATTGTGTTTATTTATTTGTCCCACCATCATATCACTAACATTTCAAGAACAAAATGAATCGATGAAGCCACAATTATTGGAATAAGCTAAAAATAATGCGACGGATTCTATTACGACGACCGAAATTTTGGCGGTCCGAAAATATGGCGAAATTTCGGGAAAACCGTCGCATTTCGTACGTTATAAAAATGTCTTGTAAGGTAGATATGGAATGAGATTCACCTTTTTTTAAAGGATTTAAAAGCTTATGTAGCTGAAAGAGCAGCTTCAATTAGAACATTATATAACGTTAAACAAGGAACTGAAACCGAGGGGTTCCGTTCAGGCCCTTCACACTTTGTGTCTGTCTGGTTCTAATATACCGTTACAATAATGACTTTAATATATAACCGGGTTTAAGACCAACTCCTCCGCAGACGGTTGGGATATGTTTGCTCACTCTGACAGTACCAGTACTTCTAAATCCCGTTATTGGCTCCAAACCTACCATGTCTATGGATCACCTCATGGTTCATTCACTCAGCATTGCTTTATCATGCCTTATTGCTGCTTTCATAGGCGGTATTTTTGCAGGTTTGTGCTTGAATAATTTGGTATATTTTGACATACTTGCTAATGCAAAATGTAAAGTTTTTCAACTCCATTTAATAAGTTAATAGTAAGATATATTATCTTACCATAAATGATGTAATATAAAGATACAAATTCACACTAATATTTATCAGAGCTCGTACAGTTAACAAAAATTTATCAAAGCTCGAACAGTTAACAAATATTTATCAGAGCTGGTACGGTTAACAAATATTTATCAGAGCTCATACAGTTAAAAAATATTTATCAGCGCTCGAACAGTTAACAAATATTTATCAGAGCTCGTACAGTTAACAAATATTTATCAAAGCTCGAACAGTTAACAAATATTTATCAGAGCTCAAACAGTTAACAAATATTTATCAGAGCTGGTACGGTTAACAAATATTTATCAGAGCTCATACAGTTAAAAAATATTTATCAGCGCTCGAACAGTTAACAAATATTTATTAGAGCTCAAACAGTTAACAAAAATTTATCAAAGCTCGTACAGTTAACAAAAATTTATCAAAGCTCGTACAGTTAACAAATATTTATCAGAGCTCGTACAGTTAACAAATATTTATCAGAGCTCGAACAGTTAACAAATATTTATCAGAGCTCGAACAGTTAACAAATATTTATCAGAGCTCGAACGGTTAACAACTATTTATCAGAGCTACACCACTACCATCCTGTGGGTTGCGGAGGGATTGTGTCCGTTGCAAGCACAGTGTGTGGAGGTGTACTGTCGTATCTAGCCGTAGCTGCAAGTCTAGTTGCTGTTATATTTCAGGTAAATATGGGGGGGGGGGGATGATGGCATCTTAATACTTTAGTTAGCTTTAAGCATGGTTTAATTTAATAACGCACATAGTTTTTATCTGCAAGCTTCGGGTATGCAAAATGTGTTAATCAATAAAAATAATTTAACATTAGAGTGAAATAGCAACAATAACGACTACTTGTAGTTTTGTCTTGATTTTAACAATGATTTTGTGATATTTGCACAGTGTAGTCTGTACACTTCCTTTTCTTGCAGGTTACCTGGTAACCTGGTTACCTGGTAACCTGGTTACCTGGTTACCTGGTTACCTGGTTAACAATGATTTTGTGATATTTGCACAGTGTAGTCTGTACACTTCCTTTTCTTGCAGGTGTCAGACACTACGATCCGATTATCTGATCTAATAGATAGACTGTTCCACTTCTCCTTCACAGACTCTACGGTAATAAAAACCAAAAAACAATTAAAATGTTACCTAATAAATTTCCGTTTTGAAATGATAGCAATTGTCCAGAATACACAGTCTAAGAACAACAGAGTATTGATTTAACTATTTCTTATTTCGGATAATAATATTAGTTGATAATATTCCAAGTGACTATTGTGTATTATGTGATATTCACCTTGACTAATTCTAAATCCTGAACAGGGGTTTTTACACACTATGAACAGAGTTTTCTTTGGATGACTGATAATAAAACGGAGGACTAACAGTTTAAAAACACTTTAATACACAGTCTAAGAACAACAATTTAAAATCACTTCAGCACGATTGGTCGGTGAAAGTGAGTATGCTGACTCTACTCCTAGTGGTGGTGATATTCCTCTCTTCTATGGCTGGGATTCTCGTCATAAGCCGGATAGGAGCTGTTACTGCTATTTTATCCTTCTGCTTCACTTTCGTCTTTGCAGGTTTAATGTTGTTTATGTTATTAAATTGCAAATAATTCATTGTTGGAAAAACAATACATTTTTTGGCACTATCCGTCGCGGAGTAGAGTCCGCGGCGGAGCCGCCGGACTCCGAGCGGAGTCCGGCGGTGCTCCGCCAAAATGTATTTACACTGGATTCGAGTACATTTTGGCGGACTCCGAGCGGAGCCGAGCGGAGCCGAGCGGAGCCGAGCGGAGCCGAGCGGACTCCGAGCGGACTTTAAAGTCCGCCGCGGACTCCGAGCGGCTCCGCGGCGGCTCGGCGGAGTGTCCGCCGCGGACTAAGCCACTAGGCGGGCTCCGGTCCGCCGCGGACTCCGGCGGAGTGCTTGGCGGACTCCGGCGGACCTCTCCGCCGGACTTGAATCCGGCGGAGTCCGGCGGAGCTTGGACTCCGCTCGGAGTCCGCCGGACTCCAACAGAGTCCACTGACTTCCGACTTCCGACCCTAGGCTAAATTTGTCACGTGACATACAACATAGCATTTTGCGATATTGTGGTCAGATGAAAAGGTCGCTAGTGATAAACCTTAACCATTACCCTCACAATGTCAATAGTGTACAACTCTAGTCTTAACTTTGACCCTATAATGTATAAACGTTGACCCTAACCCTCCACCAAACCGCCAGCAGCGAAATATCAATGTCGTTGACTGGTCATAGGCGGTGCACGATAAAAATAAACTTGCTCGGATTTTCAAAATTTTTGTACCATCGTTTTCTAGAGACTGTGAGAATTTTCACAGTACCAAATTTATTATACCTTTTTGGAATGATCAGTGAGTTTCTCCTAGGTGCCATATTTGATGGTGCGCGGCTTTTGGAGCAAAATTAGGTGTAAAAGTCGCGTAATTTGACGAAATTCGTTGATTTTTGTCGTATTATTCTGTCATATCTTCGGTTTCTGAACATGAATCATGCTGAAAATTTGTCAGAACCTTCCAATCATACTTAACTACCGAACCTAATTTAGTTGGGAGAGATTGGCCTTGATTAAGAGGTCTAAAAATGACAAAATAGGTATAAATTCGTTGATAACTCAAATTCTGACCATCGAAATTGCTCAAACTAAATTAGGTTCAGTAGAACATAAGTGTTTACGTAAGCTGACCAAATTTCAACAAAATTGTTATATGGGAAGTATTATAACTTTTCGATTGTTTCCAAAATAATGTGCTGGCCGAAATAAGAGCTAAAAAACCATTCAATGGTCAGCGTGCGCGTCTTATTGTCGATGGTGCACTGCCTACTGGTCACGTGAACAAAACAATTTTTGTCATATTATCTCATATAGGGAAGCGTTTTTAGTTTTACCCTACACGTTGCATGTGGCGTCATTTGGCCGGATCCCAGCAAGCAAAAATACGTCGACCATCACAGGACGACGCCAGCACTCTCTACGCTCGTCGAGCTCCGATCGTCCTGTGACGAAGTAAGGACGAAGCCTGAGGTCCTCAGGTAACATCGACCACCGATTGAAAATTCAGAGATTTTTTGACATAAAGGTCAAATGTAAAACTAAAATCTTGATGTTAATTGATTGACGACATCAATTTTTGAGCACAGCGCGAGCGCATGCGGAAAAGGACCGTGTAGCTAGTCAAGATGTTGATAAATATTTGGCTTGTGGCGCGATGTGTTGCTCTAAGTCTAACTATAGCCTTTTCGCTTGCAGTAGCGCGCGACCGCCGGAGGCGGAAATGACCTGGTTAGCTATAGTACGGAAAAAAAGTATTGAGACTCATTAACTCGGAACTTTGTACTTTCGCGCGTTACGAATCTCTGTAGACCCATTTAATTAGTTTTTTATAGGTAAACGCGATGTGCCTTGTAGGATGAAATCCTACTAGCTGACGCCACTCGCAGCTGTGCTGCTCGCTGTACGTCAGCGATCGAAATTTTACGCGTATCACCCGTTAAGATGGGCCACCCGACGCGCCACACAATTTTTCTCGTTGCTCGTCGCACGTCGACGAACAACGAAGCTCGTTGCGACGCGCAATGAGCTGCCAGGCGAGGACATCGTCCTGGTCCAACAAATTTTGGCGAGCGATTTTCTCCAAAAATTTAATGAGGGCGCCGACTTCCACTCTGGCTAGGTTTTTTGTTACCCAGCGCGCGTTCCTTAATGGGATGAGGTAAAATTAGGTAAAAAGAATCCACTGACTTGGCCAGAGTGCTTTCATAAAACTCTATTACTAGCTTGGCGTTGTAGGATTATATACTTCAATTTCGGATCGAGTGAAGCGAGTGACATGATACACATTACTTTGATTAAACTCATGCTGATCACAATACAGTACAGGGAAGTGGGTAACACGGCTTGCAGTCGCAGCTGCAGCTCCTCGCTGGCGGTAATATTTCAATGAACAAGAATTAAGAAAAAGAGAATTTAAGAAAAAGAGAATTTTATTTTCCACAGAATAATTAATACATATAATATACTTCAAAAACTTCAAAATATATTGTAACATGTAAGTTCATCTATCGTTCATAAGATGGGGTACTCTCAATAGGGGGTGCACCATAAAAATAAACTTGCTCGGATTTAAAAAAATTTTGTACCATTGTTTTTTAGAAACTGTGAGAATTTTCACAATACCAATTTTGTCATACCTTTTTGGAAAGATCAGTGAGTTTCGCCTAGGTGCCATATTTGATGGTGCGCGGCTTTTGGAGCAAAATTAGCTGTAAAAGTCGCGTAATTTGACCAAATTTGACCAAATTCGTTGATTTTTGTCGTATTATTTGGATATATCTTCAGTCCCTTGCATGAGATCATTCTGAAAATTGGCGACGACCTTCCAATAGAGCTTTCACAACTGTCCGAAAAATTTGGTGGATATCGGAGTTGATATAGTGATAAAAATGGGGCAAAATACGCTGCTTTTAGCTGTAACATAATGTTTGATGGTTGGATATGCTTTAAACTTTTCGGACACTTTCCTTGTAAGTCTATCAGTAAGCTTACCAATTTTTGTTGCAATCGGAGGTCGGGAAGGATACTTAATATCTATTTGTTTGAAGAAAATTGTGCTGGCCGAAATTAGCGCTAAAAAACCATCCGACAGTCGGCACGCGCGGCTCACTGTCGATGGCGCACTACCTACTCTCAATAATCAAGTACATGAGTACCCGACCCGCCGCGCTGGGTAACAAGAAACCTAGCCAGAGTGGAAGTCGGCGCCCTCATTAAATTTTTGGAGAAAATCGCTCGCCAAAATTTGTTGGACCAGGACGATGTCCTAGCCTGGCAGCTCATTGCGCGTCGCAACGAGCTTCGTTGTTCGTCGACGTGCGACGAGCAACGAAAAAAATTGTGTGGCGCGTCGGGTGGCACATCTTAACGGGTGATACACGTAAAATTTCGATCGCTGACGTACAGCGAGCAGCACAGCTGCGAGTGGCGTCAGCTGGTAGGATTTCATCCTACAAGGCTCATCGCGTTTACCTAGCTAACCAGGTCATTTCCGCCTCCGGCTGTCGCGCGCTACTGCAAGCGAGAGGGCTATAGTTAGAGCAACACATCGCGCCACAAGTCAAATATTTATCAACATCTTGACTAGCTACGCGGTCCTTTTCCGCATGCGCTCGCGCTGTGCTCAAAAATTGACGTCGTCAATCAATTAACATCAAGATTTTAGTTTTACATTTGACCTTTATGTCAAAAAATCTCTGAATTTTCAATCGGTGGTCGATGTTACCTGAGGACCTCAGGCTTCGTCCTTACTTCGTCACAGGACGATCGGAGCTCGAAAAGCGTAGAGAGTGCTGGCTGGCGTCGTCCTGTGATGGTCGACGTATTTTTGCTTGCTGGGATCCGGCCGAATGACGCCACATGCAACGTGTAGGGTAAAACTAAAAACGCTTCCCTATATGAGATAATATGACAAAAATTGTTTTGGTCACGTGACCAGTCAATGACATTGATATTTCGCTGCTGACGGTTTGGTGGAGGGTTAGGGTCAACGTTTATACATTATACTTATAGGGTCAAAGTTAGGACTAGAGTTGTACACTATTGACATTGTGAGGGTAATGGTTAAGGTTTATCACTAGCGACCTTTTCATCTGACCACAATATTGCAAAATGCTATGTTGTATGTCACGTGACAAATTTAGCCGAGGGTCGGAGGTCGGAGGTCGGAAGTCAGTGGACTCTGTTGGAGTTCGGCGGACTCCGAGCAGAGTTTGCCGAGCTGGTGGACTCCGCCAAGCTCCGCCGGACTCCGCCGGATTCAAGTCCGCCGGAGAGGTCCACCGGAGTCCGCCAAGCACTCCGCCGGAGTCCGCGGCGGACCGGAGTCCGCCTAGTGGCTTAGTCCGCGGCGGACACTCCGCCGAGCCGCCGCGGAGCCGCTCGGAGTCCGCGGCGGACTTTAAAGTCCGCTCGGAGTCCGCTCGGCTCCGCTCGAAGTCCGCCAAAATGTACTCAAGTCCAGTGTAAATACATTTTGGCGGAGCACCGCCGGACTCCACTCGGAGTCCGGCGGCTCCGCCGGAGTCCGCTCGGAGTCCGGCGGCTCCGCCGCGGACTCTACTCCGCGACGGATAGTGCCAATTTTTTAAATGGAAATTCACCAATTTTTATTTCGTTTTTTTCTACGAACTGAAAAGCTGAAACCAATAAAAAATGTTATCATGAACCAAGTTAACAAATTGCAGGATACGGAATAAGCCACAAAGTGAAAATAAACAGCGAGCTGGATCTCCTCGCTAGCATGAACATCTCAATAAAAGACACACCCCATTCCGAGATGTACATGATAAAAGGGGTAAATGACCACGAATCCTCCGTGTATATTGACAACGGCCTCCACTCATACATTGGTTACTTGACCAGTACGATAGAACAGCTTGTGGTTGTTAATCTGCTTTTACCCCTTACAGAGGACAACAAACTCAAAAAGTTAGTGAATAAAACATGAGCTATTATCACAATGAAGCCAGTTTTAATAGCTTAAATAGAACTTCTGATATATTTTGGCATACAACACGTGATTCTCATACCTAAATTAATTTTGTTTTGATATCACCTTTTCCCCCATCAGACCGAAAATCAACATCATCGGAGCTTGCGTGTTCCTATCAGTTGTTTTTGCTTCTCTGTTCATGAATCTGGCGTTATCTCACATATCATCAGTTGCTAAAGTCTTCGTTGATCAGGTAACACTACTGTTGGAGGAATCTGACTTCTGGTGGGGAGGTAAACCATATTTTTCTGACACGTGATAGCCTTTACCATTGGTAAAGGCTATCACGTGTCAGAAAAATACCAATCAATGCCTGTCAGGTTTTCACCTCCCAACCAATATACTGTATAATATAGATCTATAATACTGTTCAATAAGTATGATTTTCTTATTATTGTTCACCTCCCAACCAATATACTGTATAATATAGATCTATAATACTGTTCAATAAGTATGATTTTCTTATTATTGTTCACCTCCCAACCAATATACTGTATAATATAGATCTATAATACTGTTCAATAAGCACGATTTTCTTATAACTTAATAAGATTCGCAGTAACAACTTACCGAACATTAACATTATCCCATGTTATCTAACGTATACTACCTTACTCGGGAATATTAGTTACCATAGTTACACTACTAGTTACCATAGTTACCTTACTCGGGAATATTATAGCGGGTTAATTTATGACTGGGAAAATTAATGACCGGGAAAAATATGGCGGAATTTTCCAAAACCCACCACTTTATCCCAGTCATAATATTCCCGAGTAAGGTATTCTCAAAACAGGCAGGGCTAACTATGGGCATGCCAGAGGAACTAGTCACCACAATATCAGTTGTGGTAGGTCTAGCTGCAGTTTGTCGAGCAGTCCTCATCCTTTATTCTGTGGCTAGAGTCATGTGCCACATGGTAGTGCGACGGGAGATGGCTGGCAATACTTTCCGCCCTTGTAAAATATTTAAGGTGAGTGGCATTGAACTAGATGAACTTCATATATTAGGAGTGGGAGATATACAGTGTACATGAACTGAAGATGACTTATCTTATATAAATACAAGGCAATATGAAACATTTGATTATTAGAGTATTGATAAACATGAACTATGACCTGATTAGTGATTACCGAACCGCAATCAAATGTTCTGGTCGCAGTTACCCATGTTTGTTAACGGGATCCAGTGTATGATTGTGGCGGGGACACTCTTCATACGCAAGGAGGACGTCTCACAGTTCGCTATGGTGTCCCTCTTTATATACATCTGTATAGGTAAGTCTTTAAAATCTGTAATGACCAAATGCTAGCTTATATGCTTATATCTTTAAATAAAACATTTAAGAGGGACCGAAATATTATGAGATCTCAACAAAATATCGCTAAAACTTATGAACTGACCCATTGTGCTTTAATGGTGTGTTTGATCCAATAACTGCTTGACTCGGAGGTTCGCACAGACCAATCAAAACTATATTAAGATTTAAGAATGCATTGGTTTATAACATTTCATAATAACATATCATTCCATTTCGAAGCCTGTTTCTCAAGTGTACATTTCAGGAGCTGCATGTCACATATTGCATCGATTTGCAACACCTGAGTCGTGCGAGTCGATACCATTAATCGAGTCAATGGGTAATTTGTTATTAGGAATAATTCTTTGCATTATTCAAGTTTCTTCTCCTCGTACGTGCCATGAATTCAAACTTATTTGAAAGTTTAATGATGTAATAACATCAATTCATTTTGATCATAAAATAACTGTAAAAACAGTCTACTGCTTTATCAAAAAGTGATGTAATAATATTGTATTGCTTTGTAAAAAATTAAGAATGTCATCCTTCCAGGTTCTCTGAAGCCACTAAAGGCGATAAAAATCCTTTTGGTGATGGTAATATGCTCTTCATTGGCGCTCTGTATCGCTGATATCGCCGGAGATTTCATTAGTGAGTCGCATTTCCATGGATACTTCTGTGTAATTGAAACGAACAAGTTTGTTTTACAAAAGGATGTTGTGCTTGAAACCTTCTACATTTTGTAAACTGTTCCCTGAGAGGTTAAGGGGTTTCCAATAATTGCACTAACGAATATTTATTTCAGTATTACCTACGTACACTTCAAAACAGATTTACGCAGTAGTTCGGATATTCCTGGCTTTGCTCGTTATTGGCTCCGTGTCTATAATAGCTTCATTTGAACAGAAACATGGCATCGCTGGGTATAACTTCTCCTTATTAAATATTTTTCACAACCTATTGTAAATTACAATTTTTAATGTATTTTAATATCTTTGAAGCTTTCAATTTCTTACGGATTTACGACGCTCCTGATGCATCAATAAGTAATTAGACTCCAATCAATGACTTTATATTACTTTTACCTTTAATATTAATCTTGCACTACACTGTATCAGTTTGTTATTTTAAAATTACTTTTTATAATGACCTAAACTCTCCAGAATATACCGGTGGGGAGTACACTGTATCAGTTTGTTATTTTAACATTACTTTTTATAATGACCTAAACTCTCCAGAATATACCGGTGGGGAGTACACTGTATCAGATTGTTATTTTAACATTACTTTTTATAATGATCTAAACTCTCCAGAATATACCGGTGGGGAGTACACTGTATCAGTTTGTTATTTTAACATTACTTTTTATAATGACCTAAACTCTCCAGAATATACCGGTGGGGAGTATGTATCAGTTTGTTATTTTAACATTACTTTTTATAATGACCTGAACTCTCCAGAATATACCGGTGGGGAGTACACTGTATCAGTTTGTTATTTTAACATTGCTTTTTATAATGAGCTAAACTCTCCAGAATATACCGGTGGGGAGTATGTATCAGTTTGTTATTTTAACATTACTTTTTATAATGACCTGAACTCTCCAGAATATACCGGTGGGGGGTATGTATTAGTTTGTTATTTTAACATTACTTTTTATAATGACCTGAACTCTCCAGAATATACCGGTGGGGGGTATGGTACTCTAGTAGCAGGGTGTAGTTGAGTGTGCACTTCGATGTGTACTATTTCTGACAACACAGGGTTGTTTGTTAGGTCGTTCTAAACCAAAATCGTTTAGGTGGACAATTTGTTTCGCTAGAGACAACCCTACAGGGCAAATTTTCTAAATTACCCTCAGTCGCGTATACGGGATTTTCGTATTTCGGCTCCTGAAGGTCATAGAGACTTAAATTTTAGCTTAAAATCACCGCAATGGCCACATTTATATACAACTTACTAATCAATATATGGTCTAAAATTGTTTGTTTCCGAGATATCTGCAAAAAACTAATTTTAAGTTCAGGCGTAGGCACAAATTTCATCAAATTTGTATCTCCGCTTCTGAAAGTCTTAGAGACTCAAATTTTGGCTTAAAATGACCGCAATGCACATGTTTATATTGACACTATAAAGGTCATAAAGGCCCAAAATGCTTACTTTTGGAAAAAATCCGAGAAAAACTGATTTTCACTGAGGAAGTGAAAAAAATCTACTCTAGAAGCTAATTGAAATCGAGTATGCAGTTTGGTGTCTACAACTTTTCTAGAAACCAGGTCCTTTGTAAGGTCATTCTGGATCAGAATTGATAAGGTACGCAATTTCTATCAGTAGTTCCAACCCTAGGGGGGAAATTTCTAAATTACCCTCAGGCGCAAATATATGACTTTTGTATCTCGGCTTCTGAACGTTGTAGGGGCCTCTCTTTTAGGGGCCTCTCTTTTAGCTCAAACTAACTGCAAAGGCCACATTTACATACAAGCTATAAAGCAACATAGGGTTTATAGTGCTTAGTTTTGGAGATATTCATTAACAACTGTTTTAACTTTCGTGCATCCTTAAATAGTAACATCAAACATGTACTTAATTTTGGTATCCCGGGCTAAAAAAGTCTTACAGGCACTTTACTTGCAGCACAGCAAAAGTTCAGCATGAACACATTCAGATAATATTTATGAAGCAACACAATTCAGTTTCAGAAGCTCCTTCCAGCTATCTTGTGTTATCCTTAAATGTATACGTCTAACCATCTCTCTGGTTACTTCGAACTACTTCAATCCCCAAATTTATACATGAACATCTAAATATCTCGTACTACCACAAGTTGGGCTCTCTCCAGTACTGTTTGACTATTATGGCTAATCAACTTCAATCCCACCTCATGAAGTAAAATCTACTTTTAGCTACCTTTAATTCTGCTACCACCAACACGTTATAATTGTAGCTCTTTCTAGCTCTTTCTAGCCCGAAGTAGCTAGAAGAAGCTAAAATTTGTGGGTACTGTTTGCTAGTGTTAGCTGGATCATAGAGCAGAAAGTAGTCTGAGGTTGCTGGAAATAGTGCTAGAATTTGAAGGTGCTGGTGATAGCTGAACAGAGTAGGAGTAAGTCTGAGGTTGCTGAATAGGGCTAGAATTTGCAGGTGCTAATAGTAGCATAACAAAAATTATTGGATGTTAGTGGAAGCTAGATAGAGCAGGAAGTAGCATTCAGAGATTGCTACAAAGAGCTAGAGTGGAGATAGCTGAATTGAAGGAAACTAGAAGTAGATTCTACTACATGAGGTTGGATTGGAGTTGATTAGCTATAATAGCCAAAAAGTACTGGAGAGAGCCCAACTTATGTTAAGACCGGGATCTGGGCTTCATCCCGATCCTTAATTCCTGTCCCGGTCTTAATCCCGGTCCTGGCACTTTTTCCCAGTCCCAGTCCCGGCCAAAAAATCGGTCCCGGTCGAGCCTTGCTTTTAACGAGATGATAGTAACCAGAGAGATGGTTAGACGTATACATTTAAGGATAACACAAGATAGCTGGAAGGAGCTTCTGAAACTGAATTGTGTTGCTTCATAAATATTATCTGAATGTGTTCATGCTGACCTTTTGCTGTGCTGCAAGTAAAGTGCCTGTAAGACTTTTTTAGCCCGGGATACCAAAATTAAGTACATGTTTGATGTTACTATTTTAGGATGCACGAAAGTTAAAACAGTTTTTAATGAATATCTCCAAAACTAAGCACTATAAACCCTATGTTGCTTTATAGCTTATATGTAAATGTGGCCCTTGCAGTTAGTTTGAGCTAAAAGAGAGGCCCCTACAACGTTCAGAAGCCGAGATACAAAAGTCATATATTTGCGCCTGAGGGTAATTTAGAAATTTCCCCCCTAGGGTTGGAACTACTGATAGAAATTGCGTACCTTATCAATTCTGATCCAGAATGACCTTACAAAGGACCTGGTTTCTAGAAAAGTTGTAGACACCAAACTGCATACTCGATTTCAATTAGCTTCTAGAGTAGATTTTTTTCACTTCCTCAGTGAAAATCAGTTTTTCTCGGATTTTTTCCAAAAGTAAGCATTTTGGGCCTTTATGACCTTTATAGTGTCAATATAAACATGTGCATTGCGGTCATTTTAAGCCAAAATTTGAGTCTCTAAGACTTTCAGAAGCGGAGATACAAATTTGATGAAATTTGTGCCTACGCCTGAACTTAAAATTAGTTTTTTGCAGATATCTCGGAAACAAACAATTTTAGACCATATATTGATTAGTAAGTTGTATATAAATGTGGCCATTGCGGTGATTTTAAGCTAAAAGTTAAGTCTCTATGACCTTCAGGAGCCGAAATACGAAAATCCCGTATACGCGACTGAGGGTAATTTAGAAAATTTGCCCTGTAGGGTTGTCTCTAGCGAAACAAATTGTCCACCTAAACGATTTTGGTTTAGAACGACCTAACAAACAACCCTGTGTTGTCAGAAATAGTACACATCGAAGTGCACACTCAACTACACCCTGCTACTAGAGTATGGACACTGTATCAGTTTGTTATTTTGACATTACTTTTTATAATGAGCTAAACTCTCCAGAATATACCGGTGGGGAGTATGTATCAGTTTGTTATTTTAACATTACTTTTTATAATGACCTGAACTCTCCAGAATATACCGGTGGGGAGTATGTATTAGTTTGTTATTTTAACATTACTTTTTATAATGACCTGAACTCTCCAGAATATACCGGTGGGGGGTATGGACACTGTATCAGTTTGTTATTTTGACATTACTTTTTATAATGACCTGAACTCTCCAGAATATACCGGTGGGGGGTATGGACACTGTATCAGTTTGTTATTTTGACATTACTTTTTATAATGACCTAAACTCTCCAGAATATACCGGTGGGGAGTACACTGTATTAGTTTGTTATTTTAACATTGCTTTTTATAATGACCTGAACTCTCCAGAATATACCGGTGGGGGGTATGGACACTGTATCAGTTTGTTATTTTAACATTACTTTTTATAATGACCTAAACTCTCCAGAATATACCGGTGGGGAGTACACTGTATTAGTTTGTTATTTTAACATTACTTTTTATAATGACCTAAACTCTCCAGAATATACCGGTGGGGAGTATGTATTAGTTTGTTATTTTGACATTACTTTTTATAATGACCTGAACTCTCCAGAATATACCGGTGGGGGGTATGGACACTGTATCAGTTTGTTATTTTGACATTACTTTTTATAATGACCTGAACTCTCCAGAATATACCGGTGGGGGGTATGGACACTGTATCAGTTTGTTATTTTAACATTACTTTTTATAATGAGCTAAACTCTCCAGAATATACCGGTGGGGAGTACACTGTATTAGTTTGTTATTTTAACATTACTTTTTATAATGACCTGAACTCTCCAGAATATACCGGTGGGGGGTATGGACACTGTATCAGTTTGTTATTTTGACATTACTTTTTATAATGACCTGAACTCTCCAGAATATACCGGTGGGGGGTATGGACACTGTATCAGTTTGTTATTTTAACATTAGTTTTTATAATGACCTAAACTCTCCAGAATATACCGGTGGGGAGTACACTGTATTAGTTTGTTATTTTAACATTACTTTTTATGATGACCTAAACTCTCCAGAATATACCGGTGGGGGGTATGTATCAGTTTGTTATTTTAACATTACTTTTTATAATGACCTAAACTCTCCAGAATATACCGGTGGGGAGTATGTATTAGTTTGTTATTTTGACATTACTTTTTATAATGACCTAAACTCTCCAGAATATACCGGTGGGGAGTTTGTTATTTTAACATTACTTTTTATAATGACCTAAACTCTCCAGAATATACCGGTGGGGAGTACACTGTATCAGTTTGTTATTTTAACATTACTTTTTATAATGACC